ATAGCCATACAACTGAATCTTAGCCTTAAAAAGGGAATGAAGTCCTGACGCATGCTGCAACATGGAGGAATCTTAAAAACATTATGCTAAATGAAACAAGCCAGACACAAAATGGCAAATACTGCAGCATTCCACTTAAGTGACATATCTATACTAGGCAAAATAATAGAGACAGAACATAATTAGAGGTTACCAGGGGTTGGGAGGAGGGTGGAATAAGGAATTACTGTTGCTTAACAATTACAGAGTTGTTGTTTGGGGTGATGAAAACTTTTAGAAATAGTAGTTATGGTTATACAATAATGTGAATGTAAATAATGCCACCAAATTACACATTTAAAAATGGTTAATGACACATTTATGGTTGTGTGTGTGTGTGTGTATAAAATCACAATAAAAACTTTAAAAGAGAACAGAGCCCTGTTTCCTTTTATCAGAAATGTTATCAGAAATTGGAAAAAGGGAGAATCTCACTACATAATGGATGAAAGCTGCCAAAATTGTTACCTATTGTAATATGAAAAGCAAAACACATAAGTTGAGTTGCATAGCTAAGGAAATTTCCAAGCAAAGTGTTGAAGGTGCTGCTTGGTTTCCTCATGCTGCTTACAGTGAAATGCAGGTGAGGAAAGAAAGACTGAGGAATGGATTATTAAACTAAAAGAACAGAGATTGGATGATTTTGGAAATCAGCCAATTTTAATGGCAAAAGATGCAAAATAGTATGAAATAGCTTTCACAGTCCTTTCAAGGACTGTTAGAAAAGGCTGGAATATAATAAAATTTGAGGTAGTGATTGTAAATCCTTTTATTGCAACCTCAGAAAGATGAAAGAATTAGAGCAGTATTGAGTTGCATAAATGGTCCTTTCTAGAGCAAGTCTGTGCCTTACAGATCCTCTCAATTACACCAGGTCACCTCTAGTGAGCTGGAAGGTGTTGTCTCTCAGCCATCTCAGCAGCATCCCAAGGTTGAGAAGGGCTATCTCAAAAAGGTCTGTGAATGTAGTTTTTGTTTAGTGGAGTAAACTTTGCAGAAATCCACTAAAGACCCATAACGTTTTTCAGAAACTTATTTCCACAAAGATACCAGCAGCTTGGATGGAAAGGGACAGAGAAAGTACACATGAAAGGCTGCTGAAAACCCCACACATTCTACTGGCAGGAAGGAAGCTGATAAAACTACTGAGCTGTAAGTACATGCTCCCTTCAAGAAAAAGAAAGGATGATTTGGGAAGTGAAACTAAGAGCTCAGAAGGCAGAGCAAGAACTATGGAGCATTATGCCTCCTCCTTGAACTTAATTAAGCAACTACCAACACTTGCTCAGCTAGATTCCAAAATTTATATGAGACAGTGATTCCTTTATAATTTCCATTTCTCCCACCCCCAACTGCCTTTTTGAACAGAAATGTCTAAAGCTATCATCCTTTGCCTGACTCTCCAAGTGTGCTAGTGGCAGATAACTTCTCCCTTTGACTTTAGAGATTAACAGACTGATGGGGACTACACCCAGATAGCCTCTTCCATGTGGGCCTGATGTAAATGATAAGGTTCTGGACTTTGGGGAGATGGGTTAGTGAGATAAGACTGAGGGACCTTGAAAGTGGGTGAAATGCATTCAGCACATGAAGAGTAGGGATGTGAATAACTAGAGAACAGAGAATCAACCGTGGCAGATAGACTCTGTGGTGACCCCAGTGAGTTCTGCCTCCTGACGTTCATACCCTGTGTCATCACCTCCTCTAGGTTGTGGAGGTCTGTGTCTTACTTCCAAACAACAGAGGATGGCGTACGGGTGGGATGTCACTTTTGTGATTATGTTACATTAAGTGTGTAAAGCCCATCTTGCAGGGAGACTGTCTTTCTTGCTGGATTTGTAAAGGCACGTGACAACACCAGGAAGGATCCCTTGGCAAGAAACTGAGAGTGGTCTGTGGATAACAACTATGTAAAGAACTGAGATATGCAGTTCGACAGCCCATAAAGAACTGAATACAAACAACCACCACATGATCTTGGAAGTGAATCCTTCCCCATTGGAGCCTCAGATGAGATCACAGCTTCTGGCCCATGTTTTGATTGAAGCCTACTGAGGCCCCAAGCGGAGGATCTAGCTAAGTCATACAGGAAATCCTGACCCATGGGACTGTGAGATTTCTAAAAGAAATGTGTGTTGTTTTGAGACAAAGCGTTTATGGAACTACTATTCCACAGCCGGAGAAAACTAGCAAAGATAATAACATTTGCATCTTGATAATATTTACAGAGGTCCATTTCTTCCTTTTCTTAGTAGCCTCTCTGGGAGTTGGAGCTTCTACTCAGTTCTTGCTACTCAAGAAAATATTTTCAAGGAAATTTCAGAAGAGAAAAACAAAGTATCTGTACATTCTAAAGTACATGCAAAAATTAAGCTAGAGTTGTTTTTCAGGAAAACTAATGTGAATACATCTGAGATTTTTGTTGCCACAAAGCTCCCATCGAATAATTCCACACATTGGAGATGTCCCAGATGAAAAACCACTAACTATAATCCTACCCCTAACTTAGGGAATCTTTTGGAAAAAAACAATGCATTGGCTTGTGGCCACCAAGGATTTCTTGAGGGCTGATGTTGTTTAAATCAATATGATATAAATTTATTAATTATTTTGTATGTCTAGTTCTTAGTCTTTTGTATTCTCCCATGGAGATCATGGTCTCCTTCAATCTTGAGTTTAGTCCTCAAATATCTCCATTGTTGGAATCAGAATGCTTTTATATTTCTTAGGTAGAGAGACCTTTTATTTAACATGGCAGGGAAATCTCAGAACCCATTGTTTATGAAGACCACAGAGGAAACTTTAGGTACTTGTTTTTTCTGGTTTTCATTAAGTTCCCAGTAGCCCCCTAGAAAGACTACTCAATAGATAAGCTTACATTTTATAAAAATTTTACATAGTTCCTGCTCTTACTGTCCATTTATTATTTAAATTCAAATTTTCCTCCGTTGAGCAAATGCTAATCTACAAGTAAACATTTCTTATGTATGAAAGGAATATTTTACATGTAAGTCCCTCAAACATACTTGCCATCTTTATTCCTCTTTTCCTGAAGACATCGCTGTATGAAAAATCCTACATGGATATAAACCTACACATATGTTCGCCACAGGGTTAAAGAGCCTCTTCCTTCCTGTGCCTTCAGCCTGGGAACAGTGATAACACATGCTAAGTTTGCAGTGGTGTCTGGACTCCAGGGAAGCCTTTGCAGAGATGGAAGTGACTTTGCCTGGATGGGCTGAAGACGTTGAGCATCCCTTAGCTGAAATATTCAGGACCACGAGTGTTTCGGATTTCACATTGTTTCAGATTTTGGAATATTGGTGAATATATATGTATGTATGTATGTATGTATGTATGTGTGTGTGTGTGTGTAGAGAGAGAGAGAGAGACAGAGAGATATCTTGGGGATAGGACCTGGGTCTAAATACAAAATTCATTTATGCATCATATACATCATATACACAAAGGCTAAAGGCAGTTTTTTATATTTTAAATAATTTTTTTGCATAAAACAAAATTTTTTCTGCATTTGACTGCCACCAGTCAAAAGTTTTTTGACTGCAAAAGTTAAAATAAATCAATAAATAAATGAAAACAGTGTGAAATTTTCCACTTGTGGCATCATGTCAGTGCCAGAAAAGTTTTAGCTTTTGAAGCATTTTGGGTTTCATATTTTCAGATCAGGGATGTTCAGCCTGTACTAGGTGACAATTTACAGCGTTTAAAAACTTCCAAGCAATTTAAAATTGTACAAGGCTTGAGAATAATAGGGAGACAATTCTTCTATAATAGGCTTTCCCACTTATCAACTGGTGTTAGAAAATGACAGGCTCGCAGGGACTGTCTCAGGGACTGCTGCCAAAATGACAAACCCTGCTTGGTAAAATCATCTGCATTTCCTCTTAGTCAAAAGGAGTGAAATCTTAATTGGCAAGTGAGGAACACACTTGAAGAAAGAAAGAAATGAGTCTCCTTAGTTGATTTAAGGTTTTAATAGATACCTAATAGCTATCTAAACAATAAGTCTGTTGCTTCTGTTCATGTAAATACTAATGGTATAAAAATGACTATATACAATATTTTTATTCGAGGTTCCACTGAGCTCATGTCACCAAATACAAACTTACTATGTTTTAATTAAAAGGTACTGGAAGCCAATCAGTAAGTTTATATTAGTATAGCAGAATAAGTATCCTGAAAGCACTATGAAATTCACCTATTTGGATTCTTTCCCAATAGTGATCAATTGGAATACACATTAATAGTATATCTTACACATATTAAGACAGATTCAATGATCTTGCAAAACAGATTAAGTGATTACGATTACAGAGGTTAAGCCTCAAACCAATGTCTAATTCTACACCAAGAAACAAATTGTTAAATCCAAGACTAAATCAAAATGTCGCCATGGTGTGTTGAAAGCTCAACATACACATGGGAAAGAATCCCCAATTTGGGTTGTGCTGCAGCTTCATCGAGAGTTATTTCTGATAATGCCCTCCTGTGCCTCCCAGAGAATTAACCAAGTTCTGATAAAAACCTTACCGCACCTGCCCAATAGTGTCTGCATCTGGGACCTTCATAGGTCCTCGTCTGATCTGAAGCTTTGAGATGGGTCTGGCTGAATTCTAAAAAGAATAAGCCTCCTGCAGGGCACTTCCAGAGTCTCCAGGAGCCTAGCACAGCACAGAGGTCCCTGGGTCTCGAATTCCTTAGCAATTGCTCAGTGGAGCCAACCCAGCTGTGTAGGCACCAGAGCAGCCCAGTGTTGCTGTCAACGAGGCTTTGATCACAATTAAAGTATGCCAGGAAAAGAAGATGATGACTGGCACAACGGAAAGGGATGCCATATATAAGCTAAGCTAGATCCAAAGCTAAAACCGCTGGGAACTCGATCTGGCCGGAATGAGAGTAAGCATGAGGTTGACGGTGCTGGCATCAGGGTGGGCACGTACCTTTCCTCGCGGTTCTGTCCCACGCACACCCGGCCCCCGTGCCTGGGAGTGGGGTTGCTGCAAGAGCGTTGCCGCACCTGGAAGCCGATCCCACAGGTAGTGCTGCAGGGAGACCACGAGGTCCAAGGAGTCCAGCCTCCATTCCTGAGGAAGGGGAAGCAATGCAATCACAGGTCAGGTGGGCTCGGAGACTGAGCCCTGTCTGCACCCACGGCTAAACACCTATGTTCCCAGGAGGATCGTGCCTGGGGCTGCTGGCCAGAGGGAACATCAGCCATGGGCTGAATGGACTGCACCCTGTGAATCTCAATTCCTGTGTCTGCAGCCCCCAGGCATTTATAGTCAAGATAGGAAATTTGGGAATAAAGTTTTTAGTGCACTACAAATAAAGAACTACAGTAGAAACTCTCAAGAAACTTGAGTTATGAAAATATTAAATTAATAAAGAATAAGGTTATTTCACTGAAAAGCATTTAGAAATGAATCCCTACTCCTCTAGCGTTTCTGACTTTTTGGACTTGTATTATATCATTTATAATCTATGAAAAGTGCACCTTTGAACAAAATGCTCATCTAAAACTGCCTAACATGGTTTCTTTTAAAATCTATTAATATCAGTGAAAATCAGTAACTCTCCTGAGAGCATTCACATTGATAAAGAGTGTTGTATTGTTAGAATAATGCTCAAAGCCTTAAAACAAGCTTTATTAAAAATTTCAAAAGGACATTTAAATTCAGATTCTTGGATATCTTTTAACAAAATGACAGAGACATAAAGAGTGCAGATAAGAAGTGCAAACTGCGTATAACTAACTATGTATTTATGGCATTACACATATAGAATAACGTAGATATATAAAAATACAAAATGAAAATTGAATAAACCAATTTTTAAATTTTTAAAAATTCTATTTACAGCCCTGTAAATGTTTTAGTATTGTATTTTTTTCCTTAAAATGACTGTATTCAGACTGCTTATAACTTAAGTATCCCCCCTTAACAGTTTGTCCCTGCTATCAAAAATATATAGAGGTTTTTTTAAATTTTCTGTGTGAAAATACATATTAAATCCAGATTGCAAACTTACACATAGATGGTCTACTTCGTGCAGAATTTTTTTTTTTACTTCTGCAATCACATATGCATTTCTTTGGATATTTGTCACCTTTGGCCATAAGATTTACATTTCCTTTGAAAAAATACTAGCTCACATTAATTCTCATTTTTACTTTCTGTATTTCCATTGAGAACATGAAGCTCTACAACTATGCCACTGAAGGTCCTGGTATAAATAGTGCATTGAATATATACCAGTAAAAATAACTTCAAATAAAAATTCTTGTGAAAAAATTCTTAAGATATTTCATATTTTCCTGCTTTATTTACTGAGAGCTAATGATTTAATAAAATATGTAGTAATACTTTTATGTATATAATAAAGCTGCTTTATAATAATTTAACCAAAAGTATCACACAACGTTCCCACATTTCTCAAATCAGGTAGTATCTTATACTTTGCTGGCTACAGTCTTAAAAATTATCCATGTTATTCACTGAATTACAGTAAAAATTTTAAACGGAAGTTTTAGTATACATAAATGACATTTAACTTGCAAAATTTTGTTATATATGAAAAACAGTTTTTAGATAATGCAGAAAATGGTGTTTTTAAAATCATTTGAAAACTCTTCATTTCTTAAATCTTTTAGCAAATGTGGAATTTTATGACATATTTTATTTACAATATATGGAATATGTTTGTTTACAGGGTAGTAAATAAATAAAATTATATACAATCGGAAAATAATATATAAGGAAATAAGTGAATGCAGCTTTACACATCTATGCGTATTATCCGGATCCGAGTTTTCATATTTCTAAATGCTATTTAGAAGCAGACGTAGTTACCAAAATAGTCACATAAAGTAAACAGAGATCAAGAGGGGGATCACTGTTATGATTATTAGTACAAAGCAATCCACTTATGCCTCATTCAAACTAGTTCACTTACTAGATTTTTATCTTAAAACAACTACTAGCTACACTGCAGTTTTGCTTAGAAAATGACTTTCCAACTAACCCAAGAACTGAAGACACGTCAATCAATAAGTTACAGCAATGCACTTGATACTCTTCTTTTTCCATTAAACAATATGAAAAAAGAGTATTAGCTACTTATCGTAATCTTCAAACAATAGCAGTTTGATTGCTTTTATAAGTTTCTGCCAGGCATCCATGGAAATAATTTCGTTTTACAGGAAGTATACGATACATAATACAATTTTTATATGCCTGTGTAATCTGTAACACAAAAGAAAACCTCTAATCTCTGTGGCCCTGATTTGCTCCATTCAACTTGGTGGTGAGAAAAATGTGAGCAGAGGGCAAAGTTCGCCTTTTGCTCCTGTGCTTTCCTTTCCTGGTCTGCTTCCTCTTAGGCGCACACAGCTCTGTGGCCTGCGCTCTCCTACGATTTGATCACCCGATCTGACTTCCACTGTTAGTCACTTCATAAACAAATTGTCCCAGAGTTTTTTATTTTTTTCATTTTAAATGGGCTTATGGAAAGCAGATCATATGTTTAAAAAATACTGCAAATTAATGAACAAGTGACAAAGGAACATGAAGACTGATCTCAGAAGTGTTCCTGACACTTGCTTTAAAATGCCTCTGTGGTGAAGGTGCTGCAGGTGCAGGGGATGGAGCACAAACAGAACAGAGTTACAAAAAAATCAAGCCAACAACATCACAATAAGCAGAAGCAACAGGAAAACTATTCAGTAGGTTACGTTCTTTCAGCTGCTCTCTCGATTAGCCAGGGCCTAATGTTTGCTGAGGTGAAGTGCTCTGAGCTCCGATACACTACAGAGCAGACCAAGTTGATCAAGGGTTATTGGGTTATTCTATCTCCTAACCTAGTGTTATTATTCTACCACCAACGGACTATTAGTCCATATATTCCCGGAAAAGATTCGTAAATAACATGGATGTTTTCCTTAAACAAGCCAATCGTATTGTTTAAATTATAAATACTTTTCCTATTCTAATGAAGAGTATGTGAATAAGTGTAGGTCTGTAATCCAATTTATAGTTAAAATCTCCTTCCAAAGATCATGTAATTTTTAAGCGGTGAATGTCCCTGGTGTTTCACCACAGTTCTCTCCAAAAGGGAGTTATATTATGAATGATGTCCCAAGCGCCTCAAGAATCTGAGTTTAGTGCACAGCAGTACAACTGGCGTGTTCTGGGGGGCACACCTGGAACAGTTGGCGATCTCCATGCTGGGGCCCTCGCACTGCCAGCCCCCACACTGTGGGGCTGGGCTGTCACAGGAGCGGGTCCGACACAGGCAGGATCCCACGGCGCTGCCATCTGTGTGCGTGCAAGGCGTCCACGGAGACCACATGCCGAAGCCTCCATCCACGGTGAGATTCCTGATCTAGGAAGCAAAACCAAGCAGGGGTGTCAGAAAGGGTTAAAGTCTAACATATAATAGAGTAAAAAAGAAAATCCCTCATAAGACAAGCAAAACTCCTTTAGGATTTCTTTTTGTCATTGTTATAACTAGAAAAAGATTGCATGAGTCAGCATTGAGTAAAGCAGCAAAGGTCAGTGCTGGAGATGGAGAGGAAGAAGCAGGGAGGGGCCTGGGGAAGGTGCAGACAGAAGATGAGAAGAAGAAAAGAAAAAGAAGAGAAAGATGAAGAAGGAGAAGGGAGAGGGGGAAAACAAGGAGAGGGAAAAGGAGGAGAAAAAGGAGAAGGAGAGGGATGATGGGAGAAGGACAGAGAAGAGGGGAGGAGTGAAGGATACCGGTGACTTGGCAATCAGGTTACAGCAGAATTGTCTGCTAATGCGGAAAACCCAAAAACCAAGAGGAACTGGACTGAAAAATCACAGCTGCATGACGCCACTGCATGTTTATGTGCCTTTAAAAAAATGAAAGCTTCGTAACATTTATCAGGAAAGACTCGGTTTGGCTTTCAAACTGAAAGCATTCAATTAAGAACATATTTAAAGAGTATCTATTGAGCAGCTACAGCGCTTCTTTCTTAGGCATATCCCAGTCAAACCTGTGCTCTAATCAACTCTAAGAGCTTACGAGTCAGTGAGGACCAGCTAGACACATAAGTGTTGCCCCATGTGGAATCCAACGCTGGATTCAAAAACAGGGGCTATGGGAGCAGAGGACGGGACATACAACAGGCTCACAGGTTCTGGGAAGAGCAACAAGGGGCCTGTTTTGAGTCTTAAAGAATGAAGAAAGAGCCAAGTAGAGGGGCCGGCAAGGGCTGGCAAGGCTAAGGGCAGAGGAATGAGGCTGCCAAATGGGAGGGGTGCCTGGGCGTTCCCTGTCAGTGTGGGGTGAGCTGGTGATTCCGGGAAGCAACACCAAGGACTGAGGAGGAGTCCAGGGCAGGGTCCTCATGGGGAGGGGTCAGGGAGCCCCCTGAGCTTGCTGATGTGGCACCTCTGAGGGCACTCAAGGGGAGGGCAAGGCATCGCTGGGACATGCATGACCAGCTCTGGTGTGGCAGAGGCACCGGCGTGTACCCGGCTCACTGAAGAAGGGGCAGCTTCCTGCCAAATCTGATAAGCACATCTGCTCAGGAGGTGGCAGTGCTGCTGGAGGAGACTCATGGGACACAGCCTAGATCACCTGCCCAGAAACCAGCAAAGGAGCCTCTTTTCAGAAAGGCAATAGGAAGAAGCCCAAGTCTCCTGCTTTGTTGTTGCTGTTGTTGTTTTGAGACAGAGTCGCCCAGGCTGGAGTGTGGTGGAGGACAGGGTTGCTGGAGCCATCCTTAGTTGAGGGGGGTAAGGGAGTGATACCCCTGTCTCATTCCTCCTACCCATGCCTCTCATTACCTGAGCCCAAGGCCAAAAGACAACAAGGGAGAGGGGATTGGACATTGGATGTAAGGAAGGTCAGACCCTTGGGGCAGAGAGTGGGTGGGGAGGGAGACTAATTGAGAAGCTCTGTGGGACATTTGGTCATCCCTTTGTCTCACTTCTCTATGAAGGTGTAACAGCCCCACAAGTTCATCTTGCCCTCTGCTCAGAAAGCCAAATGCACTGGGAACAACAGGAATGACAGCAAAGAAAGAGGTGAATTATTTCAGGGCCAGGCAAGTGAGGAAAACGGAGACTCCTCAAACCTGGCTCCCTGAGAATCAGAGGTCAGGGTTTTTTGAGTGTACTTTGGCAAGCCGGGGCTGGGGAATTGAAAGAGTTGGTGACATTGCAGGGGTGTTAAAACTACCTTCAGGTGGCTGAGTCTGTTCCTGGAAGGGGTCTCAGGACTAGTGGGCAGCTTTTGGTCAGCTGAAGTGCTAAATCTAAAAACTATCTCAAAGACCACTTCTTAAGTTTCACAACTGCAATGTTATCTATTGGGGTAGTTAGAGAAGTTATAAATCTTGTGACCCCTGGTTACATGACACTGCAGTAAACAGCTTAAAGAAAAGCAGGCTAAGTGACAGTAGGTCATTCATTGTTTATGCCTATTTTTTTAGCAAAGTTCAAGCCCTTACCATTATGAATACAGTTTCTGTCTCCGAGTAAGAAGACAGGGAGGTCAGTTTTCCTTGCCTCAAAATTTAACCATAAACTAAATTCCTCTCATAGTTATCTTGGCATTGGCCTCTATGTTATTATAAGCAAAAATAAAAATAAAAATAAAATAATAAAACGATTTAGCCTGCAATGTTAGAAGCAAGATGGAATCAGTCATGCTAGATCCTCTCATCACTTCTAATTCTGCAAAGGCTGTTTCAAAAGTGTGTAGGTTGGGATGTTGTGGAGGTCAAAGCAGTTCTATCCTGGATGCTAATCCACTATGTTGACTCCTGATGACCCCCAGTTCTGGGAATACCTCTAAGATTTCCAGTTTACCTATTGTTCTTTGTGTAAGAGCATGTACTTACTGCAAACTCTGCCCTTTAGCAAATTCTTAGGCATTCCCTGTGAAGCACGTTTGCCCTTTCCCCATGGCACATAAGCCTTGGGAATAATGGCACAGATATCTACCTGTCCTGTGGCTGCCCAAGAGCGTATTTCTTCTCTCTGGTTTCCCAGTAATATCACCTATACCAACAAACTGAATTTGTCTGCCTCGCTCTTTGGTTTCTTGGGTCCTTCTGTGTTTGGGGTTTATTTGCACATACATCCCTTTCATGAAACAGATACATTTGTGATTTTTTTAAAGGATTGTTAATTCCCCCAATATTAATCAGAAACATTTAATATCCAGAATTGGGATAGATTAGAGAATTTGAAACAAAGAAGAGTGTTTCCAAGCCCATTTGGTCTCCATTTTCTCATCTAAAATACAAAGGAAATAAGGAAACGAGCAGGGAGATTCTTAGGACCTCCTTAGCTCTAAGATGTCATGAGGAAATCCTAAACTCATGGTAATATAGACTATAGATCTAAGACTGTGAGGCCAGACGGAAATACAATTATGATGGCGACAACCGAATGAAGATGGAAACAGAACTCAGAGTTCCAGTCCACGTGCTTCCTTAAAATAATCTCCTGTCCTGGAGGGAACCTGAGAATTTCCATTTTTCCAACAAGGCTAAGGTAGGGACGCTAGCCAAGGTAAACTGATTTTTTATGAAGAAAGTACTTTGAAAAAAAAGGGGATTTGCATTCATTATGGGGATTATTCCTCACCATTATGAGGTGGAACAGAGGGAGTAGGAATCTATGGTGCATTGGGCTGGCACCACCAGTCACGCCTTTGAACCTCAAACAGGGCATATAGGAGGCCAGGGTTGAATCCTGACTAGGCTACAAGCTAATCATGGCAACCCCCTCAGCTGGGCCAGTGTTGGGTCTAGAAACTGACACGCGACCCAATTCTGGCCAATGAGAATCAAGGGGGCACTGCAAGAGGTTTCCAGAAACTATTTTCTTCTAAATGAAGAGGAGAAAATTCTCTCTGCTCCTTCTCTTTCTTCCTTGGACATGGTTATGTGTGAATATGATGCTTGGCAATCCTGCTGCCATCTTGCAAGCAAGAGGAGAAGGCCCAGGGAATCAAAGACTTGCTCGTCTGCTGTCCTCCCTGAACTGGGTGTCAGAATCAGCCCGGAAAATACTGCCTCACCATGCACCACAGGATGAAAATAGTCCTTTATTAGGCCCTATTCATAGGGAATTCAACTACCATTAAACATATGCAGTCTATATGATTTAATCTTTTATACTATTTTTACAGAAAAATCAAGCTAAGATTGAAATTAATTTGATATCATCCCAAAGATTCCATAACTAGTTATTTGGAAGATGTAGTTGGAAGCACAGTCTTCCTTTTTCCTACTGCCCCAAAGTTTCTCACATTGACACTATTACATTTGGGCTGGAAAGTTCTTTGTTGTAAGGGCTGCCCTGTGCATTACAGGATGTTTAGTGATACCCCTGGCCTTCACCCACTGGATGTCAGTGTCCTACCACCCCCAGATGTGACAACCTCAAATCTCTTCAGACATGGCTAAATGTCCCTGGGGAAACTTTTTTCTGGTTGAGAACCCCTGCCTCAGACATCCTTTGTTTTATTTTGGTCTAGCACGAGTTAACAGGTTCTTAGGCAAAGAGATGCTATAAACGTTCTCTTTCCAAAATATGAATGGGTAAAAGATGAGCTTATAAAAAAAATGGGCACAGGAAAAGAAAGGAAGAACTTGAAATAAGTGATGGCTAATGAAAGAATGAAGAAGAAAGAGGCAAATAAAATAGAACAGAAACAGTAACAAAACACTGGAAAGAAAAGGAACTGCATTGGGCAAATCATCGTGAGCGCACACAGCAGTTGCACTTGGGCAGGATGAGAATGTGAGTTTCAGTCTCTGACCACGGCTGGAGTAGTTGAAGACTTTAAAGGCAGCATTTTCAATACAGGATCGCTGTAGCTGGTTCCATTACATTTCAGAACAAGAACTTGCAATCCTTAGAGAAGTACATGGGTCTTTGGGAGCAGGTTCTCTGTGTTGCATTTAAGCACTTGTTCATTTTGACCCTGAGAATATTAGTTTCAGAATCTGCCTAGAAAGCAGATCCATAAATAACAGTGTAAGTCTGTAGCTTTACTTTTTCATACGAATAGGTATTTTTATATTTTCTTAGGCTTCCTTAAACAGACATCAGTCATTTATCTAGGATAAATTATCTGTACCTGTGCTTTCTAGATTTCTGCAATGTGACTTTTTCTATTAGGGGTATGCGCATTATACTATTCAGTATTAAACATTAGACCTTAGTAAGACATATACCATGTAGTGGTAGTTTCCTGTATATCAGACACTGTGCTTTTCATGTATTAACTCCTTGAATCTTCAACACATCCCTAGCACGTACAGCCCATTTTACAGATATGAAATGGGCGGACACAGGATAAGCAAGTTGCTCAAAGTCACTCTGGTTGTAAAAGACCCA